TGCAAATCTGACAATATTGGTAAAAACAGCAAATGTAGAAAGATAGGAACAGCACCTCCTTTAAACAATTATTTATGGCAGTAGGAGCAGAACCAGGAGAAACATCTCTAGTTAAACAACAACAAATAATGTGTATGTATATGTATGAATATATTTGTGTGAGTGTTGTGCTGTGTTCGTAAACTGTTTGATATGTCTTAGAAATGGACCTAAGTCCATGCTTATCCTTTTCCTGTGAGAAATTTTAGTGATGTCCACTGACAAGAAAGAAAAGTGAAGTCGCTAAGTTGTGTCTGACTCTTTGCAACCCCATGGACTGTAGCCTACCAAGCTCCTCCGTCCGTGAGATTTTCTAGGCAAGAGTTCTGGAGTGGATTGCCATTTCCTTCTCCAGGGGATCTTCCCAAACCAGGGATGGAACTCAGGCCTCCCACATGGCAAGCAGATGCTTTACTGTCTGAGCCGTCAGGGAAGCCTGTGCACTGAAACCTCTCCTTTTTTGTTGGTGTCTAACAAAATTAACTCAGAATTCCAAGCTGTTTGTCACTGTTTTAGTCAGCATGGCTGTATTTCACACAGCCTTGCAGAGTTGTCCCCTGTTATCCTTCCTTGGCCTATACCATGTTCCCAACAATGCTCGCATGACTGAAAAAGAGAAGGTCATAGCATGAAATCTAATAGCACTGTAGAACATTTGATATTTTTTATTGGTTGTGTGTTTGAAATGGCAGCATTTATTATATCATTTCCTGCTGCATCATCCGTAGCAATACTATCTGGGTTTCATCGGTAGCAATACTATTTGGGTTAGTTTTTAGAAAATAACTTATTTTACCTAATTTTGAAAATAAGAGATACTAATTTATTAGAGTATTTCCTCCTAGTTTTTTTTCCCTTCTTTCATCTTATTAACTTGGTTACTTTAGTTAGTATCTTAATATGATAGTTATGATAGTACATACTGTTCTTTTGAACACCTCCTCCCCCCAGTAATTCTTAGTCATTCTGGTTGGTAAATATTGGTTCTTTCCAACTCACAAATGCCTCCTTGGAATCTGAACCTTCTCTAAGCTGTAGAATTTGGTAGTGTAGTTCCCCAGAGTCTCACTGTATCAGTTGCCTATATTTGGCTAGGTTGAGTCATGTCACCAAATATAGTCTATGCCTTCTGCATGATGTATGCCAGGCTTCTGGCTCCAAATGCCACAGCTGGCCTCCAGGGACAACTACTTTTCCTGTCATAGCGTCCCTTAAGGTTAGGACTGCTGATCTGGCAGTATTTCTTTGTATTTATAACATAATCAATAGTAAGACCCTCCAAAGACTGAATTTTATCCACGAAATAGATTCACTTGCCAGAAATCCTAATGCTTTCCTTCTCCCTTGAGGAATTCAATTCTAAATGTACCAAAGCCTGGGTTATGTTTATAGATAAATGAGTTATCAAAAAACCAAAAAACAAAACTCACAAACACTGGGTTATATTCATATTTAGATTTTTATTTTACTTCAGTGTATTCATTTGTGAAATGATGGTGTTTTAAGTTCAGTGGAATAAACTCATTGAATGCTTATTTGGTGCCCCAACAGGAAACTCAAGATACCTAGGTTTAATGACAGCATCAGCAACAACGAAGCTCTAGTGCTTAAAGAGAGGGGCTATTACTTAAAAGAGATAAGATAGTTAGTGAGTAGCTGAAATGATTACCTAAGATGGTTGTCTATTGCAATATAGATAGAAATAAAATTTGGTGAGTTAATCTGAAAAGGGGGGTTCTTTTTTGGGAAAGGTGCCCTAGGGAAAATAATTGGAAAAAACACAAGTAAACAAACAAAAAAGATTTGAAAATATTCTCCATTGGAAACAAAGAGGTCTTGGAGGGAGGGAGGGGGTTGTTAGTAATCTAGCCATGGAATAGAAAAATGCAAAAATGCTGGTGAAAATTGGCATCTGTAGAGCAGAAATGATGGAGAAGGCAATGGCACCCCACTCCAGTACTCTTGCCTGGAAAACCCCATGGACGGAGGAGCCTGGTAGGCTGCAGTCCCTGGGGTCGCGAAGAATCAGACAGGACTGAGAGACTTCACTTTCACTTTTCACTTTTATGCATTGGAGAAGGAAATGGCAACCCACTCCAATGTTCTTGCCTGGAGAATCCCAGGGACGGGGTCGCACAGAGGCGGACACGACTGAAGTGACTTAGCAGCAGCAGCAGCAGAGCAGAAGTGAAAGGGACACAGGAGAGTGTGAAAGGCTTGTAGAAGACTTTAGAGTAACATGGAGCTTATAATGCGAGCTTTCAGAGGGCTTCCAGAAAGGGAGGGGGCTGCGCTCTTCATCATAGATGTCATGAATGGGTGATTCTAAATATTTTAATTATAGAAAGAATTTATAGGATAGGGCAGGTAGGGTAGGGAAGCATTATGAAAGTTTTTTTCCAAAAGTTTTCTCATGTCACTGCTAATATTTTAAAATTGAAATAGAAAGTATTGCTATTTGTTTACCAAAATATTTAACAGGTGTATTTTCTATACAGAGGGCATAACTGATTCCAGCCCAATAGGACTCATCATAAGAACAGGTCAAAAAATAAAAACAAAACAAAACAAAAAAACAAGTATCACTTTCAGAGTTAAACTGTAAATTTTGCCAGTGATTCTTCAGTGCCCTATTGTCTTGGCTAAAGGATAGAATTACAGTATTTAGAAGTCTGAGGAGCAGAAAAAGTCTCAAAGGATACCTACTTTGTGAGTGCAGGGTGGCATCTCAGGAGGTGTGTGTTGAGGCAGACTGAGAACTGAGTGAGGGGGTATTTTGGTGCCTGTTTTGTTGAAATATTATCTCCTTCTCCTTAAAAGGTACCCCAAAGTGAGTTTCTGATAAGATGGAACTTGACTAGTTAAATTGGGCCAGCTAGTGTGGGAATTTATCTTTGGATTCTCATTGTTAATTATCCTTTTTTAATATCAAATAAGAGGCATTATAGTTCATACAGAACAGCCTTGGTTTCATTAATGTTACCTTTTTAAAAAGTTAAGAGTATCTTTTTAGAAATAGCAGAAACTTAACTTCAGTTAATATCATTAAATATTTTTGTTTCTGTGTTGATTTATATCATCTGTTTAAAAAGTGTTTTATGATAAAAATGCTATGAGTGATAACTATTAGTTCATTGACTAAAGGGTTTTACAGCTACAAAAGTAATGCAAGTGTTTCATCACAGAAAATCAGCTGCTGCTCTGAGTTAAGTGATTCAGAAACACTACTCCCTCCCTCCCTCTCGCCCTCCCTCCCTCCCAAGTTTTTAACAGTTAAGGTCATGTTCTTGTTCCAGCATCTCAAGTCTGTGCTTTTTTAAAGATATTCTTGTGACAGGTCATATGATCTGGCCTTGCAGTTAAAGCAGTTAAGCTGGAATTCACTGGATTTAGATACTTGGCTGTGTATATAAACATTAAATAACAAAGCCAATTTTTAGGAAGAAATTGAAATATCAAAGTTAATTTTCACCTCCTCCTTGCCTGTCTCCATCCCTCCCTTTCCTCCCTAAACAGGAACACACTGAAATTTTAAGTGAAGCAATTTGCAATTTAAAAAATCCTTGTATTTGGTTTTAAATTGTAGAAAAACTTTCAGATTTTGTTTTATATTAGACTCCCAAGTTTCACATGTGGATTAATTAAAGCTATTAGCAACAGAAAACACTTTTCTCTTTTCATAGCATGAGTTTATTTCTGTGGAGACTATTTGAAAGAGGATTTTGAGAGATTGAAGGATAGCTGTGGTCTAAAGTTCCTTTCTAAATACTTTTAAATGTGTGGCTGGTGGTGAATAGGACCACGTACTGGCTCCCATAGTGCTCATTGCAACTAGGTGGGGTCTGGAGTCTTCCCGGCATCCTGAAAGGCTTTCTCGTCATGGGAGAAGCTCTGCTTACCCACCATTTTTATTGTCTTGGAGAGTCTGTTATGGTTCTGTGGGGTCAGAGTTTAAACTGCTGTTTTCTAATTGGAATGTTTGTAATTCTGAGTCAATTTTATATTCTCACACTACTCCTGATGCGTAGAGTGCTGTACTCTGGTAGGTAATTAACCATCAAGTTCCCCTTTCCATTGCTTAGATGAGCAAGACTTGAGGGTTCCTTACCATTCGTATGAAGGGCATGTGGAATACGGAGACATAAAAATGTTGTAATAATGAGTTTTATAATTTATAGCATAGATCTAGGTTCATAGTGTGTGCAGTCTGGATACTCAACTTACATGAAGAAACTCTTCCAGAGTAGAAATGCATTCCCCCCTTTATTTGTGGAAGATGGTGTATCCTCCAAAAATTTTAGACTTTCATAAGCCCTTTTCTCGTGGGTATCTTGCGTATCCATTTTAGGTTCAATATTCAGAGAAAATTAACCCAGCATTTATTGACTGCTCTTCTGCCTCTGTGCATTTTGCTGTGTGCAAAATTTTCTTCATGTGTAAGAACAGTGAAATGTGTTCCTTTACTTTCTGTATTTATTCCCCTAGATGTGAATTTAAACCTACTGGCATGTCTATACATGTAGGCATAAAACTGGCACTTTTGTTATGATTCATATAAAAAATACTACTGCTAGCTACATACTTTTAAAAAGCAGTAAAGAACTGTACATGAAAGAAAACTTGCACATTTATGGGGGAAAAACATGAAGATTATTATTAGGAGTTGATATGAGAACATCATGGTGTTAGGATTGCTTTGGATGGGGATTTGGAAATCAGAATGACTGAATAGTGAAATATAAGGGTGTTTTATTTTCCCACTTTCAGGCTTTCCCTTCTGAATATTTGTGAACATGCTGTTTGGTATGTCCTCTGACTCTGTGTGTTTATTAGCACAGCTAAGTTTTATTCCCATAATATGGTTTTTAAAATGCCTATTAAGCAATTAATTCAGCTTTGTTGTTGAATACATTTAAACCATCTATGAAAAAAATACAGTAATGGCCTTTTTCTACCCTTAGGTCGTCTAAACTATTCATATCCAGGATCCGATAGCTCTCTGCTTATTAATGGTAAGTGATAATAATTGATTCACCCTAGTGAAATTCACAGAACTGAAACAAGTTAGTACTGTTAGAAAATACAGTAGTTGTGCTTCAGCAGGTGGAGAAATGACATTAGTTTGCCCTGCAATGATAACTGCAAGTTGCTATTAATCTGTCAGATACTTTATGAATAATTACTAGTCCTTCAAATTAGAGCAGAAACTTTTTTTAAACTATGAGAGCCAACTAATTTGCTGTCTTAAAACTGGTGACAATGTAAATAAATGAGGATCCCATAATGACACATAAAGAATGGCTTAATTCAGTGTTTGCTTCTGTAGAGTGACCTTTGAAATGTCAACACGAAAACCATTTCTGTGTAGTTGGAAAAGGAAAGGGAAAGTAATCAGAGATCTAAAATCAGGAAAAACAGCCTAAGACCACAGAGCTTGACCTTGCAAAGGACAAGGTCATTCACTGTTATCTGATGACAACGAGAAAAATGAAGTTTTATCAGCCTTCGCAGTGCCTTTAGTAAATTCTCCTTGCCTATTCTAAATATTACCACTGAGCTGTTCTCTTTTTATATGTGTGTTCTGAAGCAAACTATATTTATTAAGGAAGGAGGGGCCATCTACTCACAGAAGGAATTAAAGAATTTTTAAAAAGTTTTTTATAAGACTATAGTTTAAAATAATTGGGTGGAATACAGAAGTCTTGTTTACTTCTTTTTCACTCTTTTACTATTGGTATATGGATTTCAAATTTGTGTATTCATAGTGCCATCTACTATGAATGAGTTGCTAATGAGTTGCTAAAACTCATTTTAAGTCCCACCACTTCTGTGAAATATTCTTGACCAAATAACCATATTCTCCACATTCCCCAAACAAAGCAAAACCAAAAAAAATCCTCCTCCTTGTCCATGGTCTAGTATGAATTAGGAGTTGAAACTTACTTTTTTAACTGGATTTCTTTTTCTGTAGTGTTTAAAAATCAGTGTTCTGTAGAATATAGAATTATTGAGCCAAGAAAAGTTAGAAGATTTGATTTGTGAGAGTTGCTGCATGCGTTAGATCCTCTGGAGACCATGTGGCTTGTAAAAACCTCCCTTGTCCATCAGTCTTTGGTCTTTACATGCTACAGTGCCAGAAATAATGCCAAAATACAGTATTTCAGCATAAATGTGTATAGACTGAAATCCCAAACTGGTGACAGTGGCATCAGGATAAGGAGGAGTAATATAAGGGTTGCCATTGTCGTGTGGTTTCATCTTTTCCTATGGAATGAGTTCCAGAGTCAGGTACTGGAAATGGCAAGCAACCAAGATCTGAGATAGTGTTGTTCTGTCTTAGGCAAAGGGATCAACTCTTCATTCTCTCAATTGTTTCATTACTGCTAAATTATTAATTAGGTCAGTTGTCCCTGGAGTATCTTTGTTGAGTTGAGAAAAAGAAACATTCTCTGCTGGGTTTTCCTTAAAGCCAAATTCACTTAGTTTTTTAATGTCTACTATAAGATTTTTTTCCTCTTATACCTCCCCACCCCCCTTAATATCCTTTCTTTTAAGATTAGGTTATTTTTTAATGACCCTCACTTGGCAAAGGGAAAATAAAGGTAACTGCCCCCCCCCAAAAAAAATATTTTCGTTTTGAAATTTTACTGCCCACACCCTCTAGAAGTAGACTAGATGGTTTTTCACTGTTGCACACATGGAAATTTTACTCTAGAAGTAAACTGACTGAGGTTAACACTGTCTCAAACTGAAAGATGGGAAGGTAAAGAGCAAAGAGATGTCAGAGGGGAAACTTGCTGCCTCCTCAGGCGAGACCCAGAGCATGGGGCTATGGCTGCCATGGCCTCAGGCCCAGTGTCCAGCTTTGTAGGGTCCCGGAGCTTGATTTTGTCAGCATGATCGAGTGTTAGTTCTTGATAGCAAGCTGCCTTATACTGGATGCCAGTTTATACATTCACAATGGGGAAATACTTCCAGTATCTCTAGATACTGGAGTCTACTGATAGACCCATTCCCTCTCTGACAGCAGAGTCCAGAGTATAGAAGGTTGCTTAAAAATCTTGAAATTAACGCAAGGTGGAGGTGGAGGGATGTTAAGACAGTTCTCTAGTCACCTTGATTTAGGCATGCAGGAGACTCCAGTTTGATCCCTGGATCGGGAAGATCCCCTGGAGAAGGAAGTGGCAACCCACTCTAGTACTCTTGCTTGGGAAGTCCCATGGTCAGGGGAGCCTGGCAGGGTCGCAGAAGAGTTGGACATGACTGGGCAACTAAACAGCAATAACAAATTGCCCATTCTCTTCAGTCAAATTTTTGAAACATCTTCCATGGTGGATTGCTTATATAGATAAATTGGTCTCATTCATATGATAATTCTTAGTAGCACTTTGTTCTCACTATAGCTCAAGTTTTGGGGGCTCCTGTATTGCAGAGCTAGTTTAGTGTATTACTTGTGTTTAATGAAGATAAACTCAAAAATCACAAATGATACCCATCTTGTAGGATTGTGGGAGAGATTAAGTACATGTAAAATCATTTAGCATAGCACCTGGTATGTAGTCAAACTAAATTAATTAGAATGTCATTTTGGGAATATTAGTGTTAAAGATTTGCAAGGGGACAAAGAAACACAAACCAGGAGATTATGATGAGTTGAAAAAATTATCTAATATTGAACATGCTTTCTTTGTCTCTTATTAAGATAGATAACCTGAAATTTAATTTATTTACTTTTAAATGTAGTCTCTTTACATCTTACATCCATTCAGCCTTTTCTGAAAGCTGAAAATAAGCCTAATATGTTGTGTTGCTTTGTATTCATTATTCAACTTTGAGACTTAAAGGAACCAGCAGGAGCTGTTCTTTTCTGTCCATCACAAGTAGTCTGTTCACGCTTTTAAAAACCTTTAGAAAGGTGATTATATAGCTACTTTACTTTGCTTCAGTTAATAACTTTCAGCTTTTTCTTCCAAACCTCTGTTGAATTGAGAACCATTTCTTGCTTTATTTGAATAAACATATGAAAGAACTGTTTCCTAACTTATATGTACTTTTGAATTTCAACGTGACTTTTATTGTATAACTTGTTTTGAAATTTTCAAGCAATCAAAGGTTTGGGGGAAGAAGTGAGGTTTAAATTCTAAAAAAGTAAAAAGATTCAGAATACTTAGTCTACTAGCTTCAGCAGTTATATTGGAATAATATCAGTATTTACATGTACAAAGATAAAAAAGGGCTTGCTTACCCAGCGGATCAGATTACTTTCTTTTTTCCCCATGGCTGTACTCAATCATCAGTTTTCAGACTATGCAATTACCTTCATATTACCACTCATGACTTTTAAGAGGCATTGCCAGTATAATTCAACAAATATTAATTGTGTATCCTAGGGAATTATTGTTGTGTTACTAGTTGTAGAGATTTTTTTTTGAGGGGCATCCTTAGGGGGAGATTCTTGGATTTTAAATGTGCTAAAAAAAAACAACAACTTTCTGGCTACATTTTGGATACTGTAATTAGTTCTCTAGGACTGCCATAACAGGTACCACTGACTGGATGGCTTGAACTGAAATTTATTTCTAATCTTGGAAGCTCGAAGTCTGACATCAAAGTGTCAGCAAGGTTGATTTCTTCTGAGGCTTCCCTCCTTGACTTGTAGATAGCTGTCTTTTCCCTGTCTTTACATGGTTTTCCCCTCTGTGAAAGTCTACGTCCTAATCTCTTATAAGGACACCAGTCATATTGGATCAGGGCCAGCCTGGTGACCTCTTTTATTTTAATTTTAACCACCTCTTTAAAGCCCCTGTTTCAAATAGTCACATTCTGAGGTTCTGAGGGTCAGGACTTTAGCATATGGATTTTGAGGAGGGACCACTATTCATCCCTTAATGGATAACATTTCCTAGTTTATCTTACATAGTAGGAATATAGTTAGAGTATTCATTTTATAGTTATGAAAAGCAACCCTGAAACAGTTTCTCAGCTAAGTCAGAAAGCAGTGCTAAGCATAGGCCAGATTCATCTCGTATGTCTCTGGTGTGTCTTGGTTTAGCTCCAAGCTAGATATCAGATTGAATGATTGATTTTCCTTTTATCCAACTTGAAACTTTATTTTATGCAAGAAAGCCAACACCTAACCACTACCACCACCTCTGTGTGAAAGTACCTGTGTGTGGCGCTTCTTTCTGCAGCCTCCCGCTGTGCAGCTTTAGTGTTCAGGGTTAGCTGCTTCAACAACGAAGCTTCTGGCAGGGAAAGTTAGAGAGCAGCAACAAATACTAGTTTTAAACAGATGCATGTATGTATTTCTTTTCCTCTGTGAATGTCTCTCACTTAGAAGCATCAGCTAAAGTACTTGCTTGTCCCAGAAAAGATTAGTAAGAAATCTTTTAAAAGTTAGCATAGAAAAATATCTCTTAATTATAGTTCTTTTAAAGGGAGAAGATTGTTTGCTTAGGGAGGGTAGGGGACAGATATCTATGGAAAGGGAGGGCATAATTTGCCCAGGAGAAGTGTAGATTGTAGTCACTTGCTGAAAATGTGTGTAATATGGTTCACAGCTGCTCCAGGAAGGAGCGTGTTGAAAGATCCTTTCATGAAAAAGACAACACGAAAACCTATTGTAAACTCTAAAGTGCTCTACAGTTGTTAGCCTTGGAATAGTCATGAAGAGCTGAAAGTAACTGTTGAAGATCAACCTAAGAATATGTACATATGAGTTTACTTTTGAGGAAGGAAGAAAATTATTATTATTTACTGAGTGTCTGTCAGACCATCATATATATATGTAATATCTTTTGTTATTCATTTTTCCATTTTTATAAATAATAAACTGAGGGTTTGGGAAATACAGAAACTGAATTACATTCAGTCTCTGCTCTTCTGTAAGCAATTTAAATAATCCTCTCATATATTTATTATATCTTGTCAGCATTCTTTGAATTAGTATAGCAAGCTAGTATAAACACAAGCCAATGTGACATAGGAAATTCCATAAATCATATGAAAGTGA